GGGGGGTATCTTTCAAAATTAAATCTCTGACACCTTAGTTTGCTTGTTTTTATCCCGTTCGAATCGTGCTCTCTCCTTGTCTTAATATGAAAATCACGCATACTACTATTTTTATGTGGACGGATTGCAATGATAACTATGAGAAACGATTCGTTACTGCATTATATTTTTTCTGATTTTTTTTTTTCATATTATGCACATGTATACCACACCTTTGGAAAGTGTGTTGAGGTTTTCCATATCCACTGTGTTCAGTATATTATTGTGAATAATTAAAATATTAGAAATAAATACCAGGTTTAATATTCTTTTTCTCTAGAGTATATTTCAACAAACTCTGTGTTGGTATCTGTTTATCGTCAATGTCGATCACAAATTTTGCCGGCCTTCCGGAAAAATTTCCAGGTTATTTTGTTGAATACTTTTTCGACAAATATTTTGACGTTCTGATCTATTGCGAAGTTCTATATGCGATGATGATATACTACGGCCCGAAGTTGATGGAAAACCGGAAACCAATGAATCTAAAATGGGTTTTGGCTGCATGGAACTTATTTCTGACAATTTTCTCCACCATGGGTGCAATCTCAACCACAAGTACAATGGCATTCATGATCCGAGACCGTGGCCTTCATAAAACGTTATGTGTTTTTGATCGTCATTTGGTCTACGGAGGCGAGATTGCGTTCTGGTTCTTTGCGTTTCTAATCAGTAAGTTTCCAGAAACAATCGATACAGCATTACTCATTCTGCAGAAAAAACCGGTTATCTTTCTGCACTGGTTCCATCATCTAACGGTGATGTTATTCTGCTGGGTTAGCGCCAATGAGTTTGTTCCGTCTGGTTTGTTTTTCTCGTCAATGAACTACATTGTGCATTCAGGGATGTATTTTTATTACTTTTTATGTTCAATAGGTCTTCGCAGGTTTGTCCATCCATTCGCTCCCGTAATCACAAGTGCACAGCTCATGCAGATGTTCGTGGGTATCGCCGTTGTATTCCACGACTTTTACTATACTTATGTTAGTAATACAGATTGCAAGCTGCATCGGGGTTCAATTCGTATGGGAATGGCGATCTACGGCATATATTGCATTCTTTTCTTAGAATTATTTATTAAACTGTATATTTTGAATGACAGAAAGTATCCAAAAAGAGATGTTAGAAAATTGGTTAGGCCACAGAACCATGAAAATCATTTTAAACCTTTAAATGGTAAGAAAAATATATAGCTAAATCATCCATAATATACAGTATAAAGAAACTAATAAACTTTATGTGAACTTTCTGACACATAATTCTACCTTTATGGAACATATGAATATGTGATTCTTATCTTGAGTATTGAAAAAAAATAGTTAAGAATGATTCTTTCATAATATATATCACTATCGTGATAATTCGTATATGGTGAATGTTTTAACTGTTTGGCTTTTAGTGATGAAATGTTTTTGAGGGTGAATGTGGTTTCTGTGGCCTTTTGTGTTAACCTACGATATATACCTTAGCAATACTTATAACTATTAATCACCCTCGCTTTATTGGTATTAATGTTTTTTGCTTAAAAAATTCCTTCAATTTTAGATACAGCAGAAGTGGAACGCTTATTAAAATACCTTTAGCACTTCTGACTGTTTTCATTTCACTGCTGTTGTAGTCAAATACTGAAATTTAATATAAACTCACACACACACATATATATATATATATGTGTATATAAAATGAGATGTTAACCACAATGCCCGAAGGTTTTTGAATCAATACTTGTGCTATGAGTTTTTTGTAAAACCCATGAAGCATAAGTTCATTCTACACGATTTGGTTATCATTCTATATCATAAAAAATTACCTCATTTATTTGACTAATTCCTATTAGAGACATCATTTTGACTTTTTATGATAAATTTCGGAAGACTCAATGCACGATATTGGTCATGATCTGTCAGTAAAAGGAGTAGAAATTAATACGATACTAAAATCGTCCTTAATATAACCTTGATTGACCTCATGTTTCACATATATCTATTAATATGGAGTTCATCGTTTTATTCCATGTAATTGTTAACATTTTCTCAATACAAAATCTAAAGTCCTAACTATGATTATGAATGTCAATAATTAACACAATGACATAAGTTTTAAT